CGTCGAAGATCTTTCTTCTAAGGCTTGTGTGGAAGCATTAAAATGGTTTATATCTAGGAGAGGAAAAGCATAGGAAATATTTAGTGACTGTGGGATGAACTTCAAGGGTGCTAGCAAGGAAATACGTAAGGCTTTCTAAGTTATGTCAGAAAAATGAACATCTCCATTCTTTCCTGACTTCACAAATTGTTAAATGGAATTTCATTCCTCCAGCCGCATCACATTTTGGAGGACTTTGGGAATCTGCTGTAAAATCTATGAAGTATCATCTTTGAAGATCAATGGGAGCAGTAATCTTGATTTATCCCGAATTTACAAACTTGGTAACACAGGTTGCGGCCTGTATGAATTTGAGGCCTTTGTTTCCACAATCCGATGATCCAAATAACATTAGTATTCTCCCACCTTGGACACTTCTTCATTGGTACATGTCTCACTTCATTGCCTGAAGAAAATTTAGAAGAATCGAAAAATGTTGTTGATTGATGGAAATTGAGACTAATAGTTTTCTAAAATTTTCTGAAAAATGAAGTCGAGAATATCTGTCTGAGTTACAAGATCGAAATAAGTGGAAGAAATCTCATGAAAATATGTCTGTCAATGACTTTCTCCTGAATAAGGAATAAAACATACCACCTCTTTAGTGGAAATTGGTATATTGGTAATTTGTGTATATCCTGGATCATATAACAAAGTTCGAGCTGTGGATATTCAAACTCCCAATGGAGAAATTAAAAGACCTATTGTTAAAATCTGTCCTTTGCCTGTCAAACCCTATGAACTTTGAATTGTTTAGAACATTAGCCTTTTTTACGCTGTTAAGTTTGATTATTTACAACTTTTCTTTTATAATTTGTCACTAATATTTTCTTACAATTTTTCAGGCTATCTTGTTTTTTCCTTTAAAGCTCTTGGAGTGCTTCAAGGGGTGCGATATGTTATTATTAAATTTAAGTTTGTAGATGACAGTAGCAGCTTTATTAAGTCAATCACGTGACTACTCGTGCCCTGGAGTCGAGAACAGATGTTCTGTTTATGTTAGCTGGATTTGCAACGCAACTTTTTTTTGCGCTTGAAAATAAAATTGCATTTTAATACAGCCCATTGCATGTTGTTATTAATCCGCATCGCATCACACCGCCACATATTATTTGCCCATGTACTGTGAAAGTTGGTAAACATCCCATCAAATTTGCATAAATCATTCAGCCATAAATTTAAAAGGCTCTTTATTTTAATTATGTGATTATAGACCGCTTTTTATTTTAGTTACATAATCAAACAATACAAACCATGCATATAGCATATAAAACATTTTAAACAAATAAAGTTAAGCTTTGAGAATATGTGACAACAATTGCATTATTAAAACTTACATCAAACATTCCAGTGGTCAAAAACTCTAATGACGTTTAAAATAGCAGCCAATTTTCAAATAAAGTTCCATAATAACCCTAATAACCTTTTTAATGCCAGGATTTTGTAACTTTGAAAACACTTCACTGCCTGCTGTTTTTTAGAAGGCAGGTGTAAAATTTAATCATTTTTTTTTTTTTCAAAATGCAACACAAAAACAGTAGTTAAGTTATATCTCTTTTTTAAAGTAGATAAATTTAAAAAAAAAAAAAAAAAAAAAAAAAAAAACCCTGCCTAATAAAGGATTATTTGGGGTTACATGAAAACAAAGTAAAACTCTTCAGAGAGTGTTATAATTCCTGCTTTTCAATATTGGGCTAAAACACACAATTTGGTGTTATTTGTCAGAAATGACTGACAGTAAAATACATAAGTACTAAAGAAATACTACCAAAGAATAAAAAAAGCAGCTTACAGACTCTCATTACCACTTTTAACTGAGCACATGATGCCTAATCTTCTAGAGTAAAATTACAACTGAAAAATTTATTTCTTTCATTTTAAATGTATTTCAACAGTTCTTATGTATTAAAATGATTTTCATTATTAATGTGCCAAATGTCTAGCTCTGTTAAAAAAAAATAATACTTATATATTTACATAAAATCTAAAGATTGCATCATGCTAAATTTGATAAAAGTCTTATTTAAACAAAATTTTCAATCATCTGAAATATTCTCCTACTACTTTCAGTTCTGGATTATCAGAATTCAACAGTGTTTGCATAAAATATGTAAATGGCAAAAAAACTTTTCAGGTAACATTTACCTCCTCATTATGCATCTGCCAGTTAGTAATTCTTGAGTAGCTAAAATTGCAAAAAGGAAATTATCCTAAATATATCTATATACAAAATTTAATTTATGAGGGTGTGAATCAGTACATTTTTAATTATGCTTATTTGACATGATAATATGCAAATAATTATTGAGGATTTAGTTTAAATTAACATGCTAAATAATGATTATTGAAGAAGATAAACAACAAAAATCAGCGTAATGTTTGTAAATTTTGCACAACTAGTTTTGATGATTTAATCTGTTAACTGGGTATGACGAAATTTTTCGTCATGCCAGGAAGACTATTTCAATGGGTATGACGAAATTTTTCGTCATGCTGGGAAGACTTATTTTAATGGGCATGACGAAATTTTTCTTACATTTTTTTGCAATCTGTCACTTGACCATTGTCCAAGAAAAATCGATCAATGGAAACACTTGTCCACTCATAAATTGTGATAACACTCCTAATTTGCACAACTTAATTTCATTTTAGTCTGCATTTCAGTATTTTACATATTAGTAATAACTTGCTGATTTGAGTAATTGTTAGTTTTTTATAAATATGGCTAAAAATTACTGTGAAGCAGAAAATATTTTTGAATTGTCTGAAAGTGATGATGAAATATTGCCCGGGAGGTTTGGTAAACGACGTCGAATTCTAAGAATAAGTACCAGTTCGGAAGAAAGTGATAACGACTTCTTTACTGATGGTCCGGACATTGAATCAAAGGATGATGATGTTATAGACCAAAATACTCAACCCAACATCAGCCTGAATGGAAATGTGAAAGAATACTGCGATCGCCTTTCCCGTTTTTATCTCAATCTAAACTTACATTTGAAGGACCTGAAGAAAAGGATTGCCTTTTTATTTTGAGAAATTTATCGATGAGAATTTTGTAGAACTTATTGGGGAACAATCAAACAAATACGCTGGACAGTTTTTTGAAAAAAATAATTTCATGAAACTGCGTTCAAGATGTCTCTCGTGGGTTGACACAGATGACCGAGAGATGAGAGTATTTATTTTTTTACTAATTTTGTTAAGAATAATAGGAAAACCTTCTTATCAGCTTTATTTTCACAAAGCGAGAAAGTCTGGAGACTCCATTTTTTTATAAAACTATGTCAGAAAATAGATTCCAACTGTCAGTAAAATATTTACATTTTAGTGATAACAATGCTTTTGATCTAAAAGTGTGCAACAAAAAACCTACAAAATCGATTCCATTTTGAACTATTTGAGAAACAAATTCAAGGTGTTATACGTACCAGATAAGGAAATATGTAGATCTGTAGATGAGTCTCTTTTGCTATGGAAAGGAAGACTGTCTTGGAAACAGTACATTCCATCGAAAAGAAATCGATTTGGTGTTAAATTGTATAAGATATGTGAATGTAAATCCGGATACATAAGTAATTTCATTATATATACAGGTAAAGACGTGCTGTATGGTTCGAACTATCCAGAAGAACAGGGACCAAATCGTATTGTTCTTGAACTGTGACACGATTTGTTGGATAAGGGATATACGCTATATCTCGATAATTGGTATACTGGTACTGATCTAGCTGAGAAGATGTGCAGAAGAAAAACCGATGTTGTAGGAACAGTGCGAAAAAATAGAAAGGGAATACCATCTGAATATAAAAAATTGTGTTTTGAAAAAAGATTAATACATTGCTAGGTACAGAGACAAAATAATGATTATGAAGTGGAAAGACAAAAAGGATTTAATTATATTGAGTACTATCCACGACAATAAAGTTTGTAGAAATAGAAAAACGAAGGAAAATGATATCAAAACCGGAAGTTATCGCTGACTACAACAAAAATATGGGAGAACATGATCTTGCTGACGGACAAATGAAAACTTATGAAATCGCTAGAAACCAAGTAAAAAAGTATTACTATAAGATATTTTTATATGCACTAGACATGGTGTGTTTGAATGCATATCTTTTATACAAGAAAGATGGCGGTCACCTAGATAGGCTTCATTTCCTTATTGAAACTATAGAAAAAGGTGTTGAAAAATATAGAGACGGATCGCAGTTGCCATCTACTAGTACAGGAAGATCATCTTTGACACCAAAACCATCTCGACTCTTTGAAAGACATTTTGCAGACTATATACCATCCGACTCTTCAAGAGTAAATGTAACGAGGAGATGCAAATTATGCTATTCCAAAGGTCTTAGGAAAGAACCGAGATTTTGATGTCTCGACTGCAGTGTTGCTTTGTGTATGCAGCATTGCTTTAGGGAATATCATAAGAAATAATTGTTTAAATTCGTTCAATTAATTTGTTTTTCCAGATTAAAAATGTTTAATTTTAATATTTAATATCATTAAATATTTTAAAACGATTTTCGTTTATTTATTCCTTGCGATGTGCTGAAATTACTGCAAAGGAAAAAGTCCCCATTGTGAAACGATTTTACTGAAAGCTTATTCCCCAGTTAACAGGTTAAACACAGAACATCTTTTTCAGCTGCCTAATTGCAAATAAACAAGATAGAATATGGTGATAAGATAATGTAATAATAATTGTAACACCCTCAATAACAATAATTATTGAAGGTATTTAAAAATACATCTGTCTCAAATTACAACTGTTAATTGCAAATCATACTTCTGCACATTTGCTTGTGAAAACTGTACATTACTATTCATTAATAAAAAGATCTTTACACATTTTTGAGACTTACGTAAAGCAAAAGTCACTATGGATGAAGTCCAGGAATTATTATTAATCGTTTAACAAATATTTATACTCTTATAATATAAGTAAAACTCACCAGACTAGCATCTAAATGAAAAGCTGTTGACAAATGGCCACTATTATATTGATTAGCAGGACGACAATCTACCACAAAATATTTAATCTCTCGATTGACCTTTCACAAAAGAAGAAAAAAAGAAATTGTATAATTTCTGCAAGAATGAAAATGTCAAAAATTTAATTGTTTCAAATTCTTTTCTATAAAGTGTTATTGATTGAAATAGAATTTCTGCTAAAAACATGTACTTGAATAAAATTTGAAAAATATAAAATACTGACATTAAATATTTTCAAATTATGATTTAAAAAAGAGTAATCTTCTAATATCAAATTAATTGCATTTCAGACACAAACTGATTTTATATATTCAGCGAGTATGATAATAATAATACTAAAAAAAGTTTTGTTATAAGAATCGAAGATACAGCAAAATTAAAGGCAAGTTTAAAAAAAAAAAAACTAAATGTATAAAATTATTGCGCATGTGCTCGGTTGGGCACAGCGGCAGTTGCTTTGGAACAGTTTTCTGCAACTTGAATTAACTCATTTTTTTATTTAATGTTTTAGAGTTCTGTTAAACTGAGAGATGATTGAAATGTTTTAAGCTATTCTTGGAAGGAAAAAAAAAAGTATGTACAAAACTGTAATTTAGTTTTAATTTTGAAATATGCACGAGTGTGCAGTTTCATTGCTTTGTTGAGAGTATATATTGTAAGTGAATGAAAGAAGAGCCGGTTAACTGAATCTTCCAAAACATGTGAATAACTGAAATGGCCAGAAGGTTCTTTGCAGTGGTTCAATTTATATTTTTGACTGAGGAAAAATTTAGTAGTTGTATTGGAAGTGGAAGATAGTAATGTGAACCACAGGTAATGTTCGGAAGAAGAAGCATCTACTACATATGTAATTCGACGAAGGTGTTCAAATATTTCAAAGTGCTTTTAGTTACAGTAGCATCTCAGGGGGGGGGGTAAATCACAGAAAGGTGCATGACTCCATAATGTATAGTGCTTCTAAAAATGTGTAGGCAGTGCACAACTTTGCGAGTTGCCATCAATTAGTGTTTCATGTTTGTTATTTGAAAGAAACAAAATGTTTTTCAAGAAGTGTGTGATAATATGGAATTAATTTATTTTAGATTAGAAAAAATGATTGATGATAAAAAAGAAAAAGAAATAGTAAGCTTTAAATAAGCTTAATTGATCAGTGCACACCTCAGCGATTTCAAGTTCCTTATAAATAATTTGGAATATTGCTAAACATATTAAGTTGATTAAATAGTCTTTATAAAGTGAGCTAGTTTCCCCTTGCTATATTCATTTATAAAATTTTATAACTTTCTGAAAACTCTGAAGCATTTTACGAGATAAAAATTATTATTAATGTTTAACTGCTTTTATCTTTTTATTTTATGATATTTAATTTTTTAATGCTTGTGGTCATTTATGAGATGTGATTGCTTTTAATTCTGAAATGCTTTTATCCAAATAGATATATAATTCTACTTTGAGGTTTGGAGGCTTTATATATATTTAATGCATGTTCCACATTTCTGCAATTCAGTATCAATTCTGGATTTAATCCAATATATAACTTGGTTTAAGGAGACCCAATTTTATTTTCTGTTGGCTTAATTAAGCTGACCATAAATTTTCCATAATGCTATTTTTAACCAAATCTAGAAAACCTCATCCAATCAAACTTGCAGAAGAGTTCAGAGTTGAAGTATTACCTGAGTTCAGTATTCTGGACTTAGAGGGAAAACTTCTTGCTAGTGAAAGCTATGAGGAGCAGGTAGCAAAGGATCTTCTAAGAGTTATCATTGCAAATAAGGACGAAACGAAAGAGAAGGAAAAGCAAGAGAGGGATTACAAATTAGAGGAAAGAACTGTCATTAAGAAGTCTAAGGTAAATAGTCAGGATCATCACTCAAACAGGAGTCCTACACCAAAACAGGGGAATGGGAAGGAAAGGTCAGTAGAAGAGCAAACCAGGACAATCAGGTTATTGGCAGTAAAGGTTGCGAGTACAGCAAATGGCTGGAACTATTTCTTTTCCAGTTTAGAAATGGCCTATGTTAATGAAAATGTTCCTAATGAACATAAGACCAAAATTTTAATTTACCTCTTGGGGGAAAATGCAGAAAATTTATTAACATTGATAAGTGAGGATAATTATGGGAACTATGAATAAATAAAGAAGATAGTGCTGAATGAATTTAGATCCTCACCCTAAACATGTCTACACAACTTCACAAAAGCAAGGCGAAGTTCAGAAAAGTTGGCCAGTTTTCCATGAAAGTAACTGCTATATGCGAAAATCATGTTAAATCAATGGGGACAATGGACTTTGAGGGTTTTGATCAGTTGGTAGTGGCAAACAAAATCTACCATACCCTTGATACAGAAACTGCAGTACACATAGGTATAAGACAAGGAGACTCGTAGTTTAGGCTTGAAAGAAAGTGAGACATATTCTTTGCTGTCATATGGAAATCCTACAACGTATATAGGGAAGCTAGTGAAACTAAGAATTTAAATCAGGCATTAGATGAGAGACCTAAGTTCGAAGAGAGACTAAGTGATCGCCATGGGTCAGAGGCCATAGTTTAAGTAGGGAAAAGCACAGGCAACTTTAAAGACTTAAAATATTTTATATATGGCTCAGCTTCACATTTTAAAAGATGTCCTTAGATTAAAAGCTCCAGACAATATAATTTAAATGAGGAAAATTATAAGGCCAGAGTAAAAAAAAAAAATTCAGGATAATGCTGTCCCAGAGGAAAAAGTGGTAGTAGTTTGAGTGGAAACTTTGAAGAAGCCAAGGAAGGTAAACAAATATCAGTTATGTAAGTTGAAAAGGATTTCTATTAGTGTGAGTTGGCAACACTGTGGGAGAAAGCACAAATGTCACATGTCAAGAGATTTTGTGTGCAACTGCAGATTCACTTGTAGAGGATGTGTTGGTTGCTTCTTCCTAAAGTGCTCACCATGTCAGGAGATCAAGTACAGGCACACAGGTGAAGTGGATGAAACTTTACAAAAAGGGACCACAGTTAACTCACTGCTCAGAATTTAGTGGCCACATGGGGATAAAGAAGAGGGTGGAGAGGATTAGATATTCATTTCATTGGCAAGGTTTGAAATTGGCTATTCAGAGGTTTTTGTGAGCCATGCAAAGGATGTCAACTGACCAGACCAGTTAAAACTGCTGACAGGACACCAATCGCCCCAGCAACAAGGCCAGATCTGTCCTCACAAATTGTGAACACTGATGTGATAGGCCCAAATGCCAATCCCAGTTCTAAGGGCCATAAGTACATATGCGGTCGCCCAACAAACCAGATGGGCAGAAGCAATCCCTCTAACTAGCTTTCTCAGGCAAATCTACTTGTAATGTACCATTACACATTCTTTTTAGAACAGGGATTCCAGATGTAATTGTATGTGACAACAGAACCAATTTTAAAGCAGACTTGACTCGAGCTCAAGAGACAAATAGGAGATAGTCCTAAGTTCTCAACAACTAGGTATCCTCAATCTAATGAGTTGGTGGAACAGTTTCATGGTACTTTAAAAAGAATGCCATATCACATCAACACAGGAGGAGAAGGTAGAATGTCACATTTCCAGATTCCTTATGTGTGGTGGGCCTATAGAGAAGTACCTAACTCAACAACCCCTATTCATGTCTATTTAGAAGATTTAAAAGCTAAATGGGAGAAGGCAACTGAGCAGGCAAACCTCACTGCTATAATTCAGCAAAAGCAAACAGAGCACTACCATAACCAAGACCTTCTGTTAAAATATTTAAGGTGGCGGATAAGGCAATAGTGCTGATTCCTGATTCTAATAACAAACTCTACACTAAATGGCAGGATCCTGCAAATATATTAGAAGAGAGAAGTTCTCACTCTCTTAAGAAGTAGAAATGCTCAATGGCAACAAAATGCATATATATATTCATGAGAACAAAATTAGGTCTTATGTAGTTAGATCCCAAGTAGTAAATGTTATCTTGGAGGGAGAACAGTTTGGGGAAATTGAATCTATACCTATTTAAAAAAAAGCGGGAGGAGTTTTTCAGAATCTCTCGCGGAATTAGAAATGTCAAATTTAAGTTTTATCTGAAGAAGTAGACTTGTAGGACTACTCGCAGAAATACCAAACATTATTTACACGTCTAGCTCAAGCAGCCAGGTAGGGACACCCAAGATCGAACTTATTCCACCTGCTGTTAGAAGAAAACCCCACTCTTACGGGATACCCATGGCATACTGCAGAGCAGTAAATGAATAAATATGTGAATTGTTAGAACTAAGATTAATTGAACTTAGTTCTAACGATTCTGACTTCGATTAGAGTCAGAAATCGCTCATCCTATAATTTGTGTGGCGAAGCTACAGTTAGGATGTGTATAGATTTCAGATCATTAAATACTCTAACAAAAACTCCAGCATTTTCCATGGAAGATATGCAGTTGATTTTTGTGGCAGGTTCAGCTAACTGGCTGACAAGACTTGACCTTTGAAAGGGGTATTGGCAAATCTAAGTGGATGAAAGCAGCACGCCTTTGACTGCTTTTGCAACACAGAATGGGGTACATCAGTGGCCTTTTGGCCTAAGAGACATTTCAAAGGAAATAAACTGTGCTCTGTATATAGATGATGTAATGATCTCCAAAACATTTGAGGAACACCTGCAACACATATCTATGGTACTGGATACTTTAGAAAAATTAAGATTTTCAGTATACCTGGACAAATGGATTTTTGCAGCAAAGAAAATCAAATATTTGAGATGGAGGCAAGCATGGTCCTGATGGAAAAAAATTAAATCAATTAGAAAACTTATCAGACCGATTTGAAAAAAAGATGTGAGATTGGTTTTAGGATCAATGGAATTTTATTGGTCTTATATCCCCAATTATGTATAAATATCAATGCCACTGACAGAATTGACTAAGAAGAGACAGTCAAATATTGTACCATGGGGAAGTTAAAACAGAATGCTTTTGATAAGCTAAATGATACTTTATGCAGAGAAACATCTTTGGCCACACTGAATAGTGAAAAACCATTTCAGATTAATTGTAATGGTTGCAGGTTGCTATTTAACCCAGTTAGATGAGAACAGCAATTAATGTTCTATTGCTTTGTTAGACAAAAGCTTTCTCAAACTCAGAAAAATTGGGTGAACATAGAGAAGGAAGCTTTGTCAGCCCTATTTGGTCTGAATAGATTTGATAAATGGATCTATGGGCCTTAGGTAGAAATCATAACCAATCACAATCCTCGGAGAAAATTGAATGAAATGACTTCTCAAAGCCCTAAACTGTTGACATGGGCTCTGGCATTGCAGAAATGGAATCTGTGTATTAGCCATAGACCAGGTTCACAGTACCAAAGTGCTGATGCACTATCATAGTTGGATCAGATATGTTAGGGATAATGTTATTCAAATGTTTTTTTTTTTTTTCTTCCTTTAGTTTTTGCATGTTTGTAATGTTCATATAATATCTAAGGTAGCCAAGAATAGAAGAATAACTAGTGTAGGGTATATAAAAAAAACAGTGTCATATTCATTTATTGGTTGTTCCTACTTTTTTTTTTTAACTATCAATAATGTAGAAGTTTTGGATTATTGTGCTTATTGTGTAAGAGCCACATAAAAATTATGTTTAATTACTCATTAATGAAATACTTTCCAAAGAAAGGACAAATTTCATTCTTGGTGAGAGCATGTCATGTTTACATGTGCTCGGTTAGGCAGAGCTACCGATACAGCCTTCCTGGGAGATGGGCGATGCCAACCACCCCGAACTGAAAAGAAAGGGGGATCTGACAACAAGGGGGAGAAGCATCGGTAATTGCACAAATTTTACTTTTGAAATATCATGAGTGCACAGTTTCTTTGCTTTGTTCAAGAGTATATATCTTAAGTGGATTAAATAATAACCGGCTAACTGAATCATCCTAAATATGTGAATAACTCAAATGGCCAGAAGGTTCCTTACAGACCTTTACAAAAATGTTAAACAAAGTACTCGTATTAAAACAGAAGAAGAAACTTGCAAGATTGTTCAAGTACTAATTAATTCAATAACGCCTTTAATCACAACTTCTGGTCATCATCAGAATTTTCAAGATAAAGTCTGGGCTCTTTATAAAGAATATTATAAGCATTACACAACAATTTCTAATGTTACAATGAGTGAAATATGCCAATACTATTAAAAAATTTGCCTTTTTAATAAAAAAGAAATTTGCCAATTAAAAAATTTGCCAATACTATTAAATAATTTTTCGAGAAAAACAGTTTCATGTGTTCCTTATCTACTTAAGAGTGTTCCAGGTTTGTTCACAAAAATTTTTAGCAATGATTTTGCTTAAATCTTTATTTTTGTTCTGCATCTATTGCATATACATATAATTTAATTTTGGAGATTTTTTTTCACACAAAACTTGCCCAAACTATAAAGTTTGCTATTGATCAAAACGTAAACAAGTTTGACATAGGCTACTTCAACTTTCTCTTTAACTTCTAGTTTATGAAATAATTGTTTATGTGTTCTTCATAACTGATTAGTTAGCTAGTTTGTCTTGTCAAAACGAAAAATCATGCATCACATTGATTCTAGTACCAAATAAACAATCACTTTTTTTTTATTTAGGACGGGGTATACCTGAATTAAAATTTAACTTACCATTAAATACAGTAACTAATGGAAATAACAAGAAGCATTCTTGATCTTTTATGACTATGTCCAACTTTAATTATAACATAAAACAAATGGAACATTTTATTACTTTTGAAATTACAATATTTCACCACATGTTAAACAAAAATAAAATACAATACAGAAATTAAAACACTCATTTAACAAAAGTTTATTTGAAATTATTGAATTATTTACTTATTTATGTATTTGTTTGTTTATTTGAAAATTTCTGCACAGATTCGCAAGCCTTTCAAACATAAAAGCATTATGTGAAATCTGCTAAATATACCTTCTAAGAAAACTTGACTAACATATCTATAATATCCAAGTATAGTGTAAATACTGATTTAGGTAATGCATTAAAAAATAACTCACCCTCACATTATTTCTAGAAATTAAATCACTTGCAGAAACTGGCAGGCATAAAGCCTGTGACAGAAGACTACTATTTTTGGAATTTGATCGGCCATCAAATATCATAGAATGATATTCCTAAAAATAGGTGTAAAAAATTAATTCATGCAAATAAATGCAATACTGTTATACAGTAAAAACTGGTCTATCCAGAAATTCAGGAAATGACAAATGCTGAATATGAAAAAAATTCTAGATACTTAAACATATAAAAAATGCAATTCATGGCAGAATAAATACAAATAACAAAAATAATATCCAATCTAAAATTTAAAAAGCAGTCATCTGATTTGTTATCAAATTAAAGATAAAAAACCTGAATTTAATATGCTGCAAGGTTTTGAAAAAAAAATGGATTTCAAATATAAAAGCCAATATATTTTCATAGACCTTTAACACACAAATGCAAAACATTTTATGCAATTATCAAATGCAGCAAATTATGAAAGCTGATGGAGATATTACCAAACTTGTGCCAGTCATTTCATCAGAAGCTTGAAAGAACAGACTCTTTATTTAGTTAGATAATGAAGAAATATAAGTTACAGATATTGCACAAAGCTTAAATCATTCCTCATAATATTTTATGTAGCATCGCCATTGTTTATCGATTTTCAAATAAACGTGCATATCATGCCTATTAACCCTATCCTACCAAAACTCAGTAAAAAGTTAATTTGCTTGCCACATGGTTAATATATTGGTAATGATTAATATAAACAAAATTTTTACTTAATTGTTTTTAATTATTACAGAAAATATGGTGGTTACACCAGAATATCACTCTAACTGGTTTACTTCAGTTTGGTTTATTTGATTATGGCAAAGCACACAAGGGTTAACAAAAAGAACACTGCAAAGATTTCCCAAATATTAGCGTATGTGCAGCTTCTTGTTAGCTAATCTTAAATGGAAAAAACAAATCTGTATTTCCTGGCACATGTAATGGAGTCTTCCATTTCCCATCCACGTTTTCCACTATCAATCCTTTCACAACATCAATTAAAAATCTTTCAATTATAAGAACTGACCTTCACTTCTCATAAAAAACAAGATGTACGAATTTTTAAATGACGTGTCAACAAAATGCCGAATATACGAAGCCACCAACATTATGAAAGTAATTTACCAACCACTGCACAAAACGATATTGAAATTTTATTGCACAAAATACACAATTAAACACTCAAGTGGTATCACACAAAGAAAATGCACATATTAATACAATGGCCACCTTTTCACCTCAAATTTCAGCTACACGCCAGAGGATGGTGTCCTGCGCTAGTTATTTATGCATGTGTAAGAGCATTACATTACATAAAATTTTTGGTATTTCTGTATTAAAGTGATCAACATATATGCTTCGGTGAAAGATGGCAACATTTAAAGTTAGTTTCTCGAATTTAAAAAACACATGACAACCTTCAAAGAATTAAAAACCATAATATGGGAACAAAATAAATAATATTTGTTTCACAATTATTTACATTTAACCTGGAGGTCATATTTCGGCAACTGCTGCTATAAAATAATAAAAAATTGGTACTTTTTCGTTTCGCCGGCGCATACATTATACACATAAAAAATGTTAGTTCTAAGAATTTTTTATTTTTAAGCCATCAACATTTTAATATGGTTTAAAATTTTGTAAAAAGCTAATAAATATAGACAATAAATTTGTAAAAAGACATTAAGAATTTACTATGCTTTCATGGTTCCTGATTCGCCGGTTTGTATCATGTGACCCCACATGATCTCATCTCACATAAACTACGCTACAAAAATCTAATTCTCTCAGTAATTATCTACATTAATTTAAAGTTAAATCTTAATTTGAAATACAAGTTTAAATGCAAGAATTACTTCAATTCGTACGAATAGCTTACTCAGAAATTATGTACAACCGCAGTGCTTTACTTTGCTGGTGCATTCTCATTAGAATTGATGAATTTAACCCTTGATTCTATATTTTCACCTTCGGGTGAGCGATTGATTGTATTCTAATTGACTTAATTACCGCGAATGGTCTTAGGGCATAAAATTTAACTATCTTGTAACAGTTCTATGTAATTGTATGTCAGTATTGAAAAAAACAATTAATCTGATAAGAAATGGCTGCGACTTGTTTTGAAAATGAGGTGTAAAAGGTTACCAGTGAGGATATTCCGTTTGGCATTAAATGTACCATTATTGGTGACTTTATCGCCTGTGCTGGCAAAACGGAAAAGTACTGGACTGTCATCCCACATAACTGGAAAAATGAAAATGAAAATAATGTTTTAATACAAGAATTACTTCAATTCGTACGAATAGCTTACTCAGAAATTATGTAAAACCGCAGTGCTTTATACATGGGAATGTATACTTATACATTTATTATTGGTTATATGTATTATTATTGGTTAAATTACACATGTATAAGTATACATGGGAATTTATTACATGTGGACTCCTGTAAAGCTTAAGCATATGCAGAAAATACACATAAAAATAATAAATAACAAAACTGATATAATTCAGGCTTAACTTCCTCAGCCCATGATAAGAGTAAGACAAATTTTTGTACAACAATATGTCTTTAGTTGCCAGTTTTACAAGACATTACCAATAGTATACAACAGACATCAGAAAGCTTCATGATGATAACCACAAATCTGAAGGTTTTCAGATACAAAAAATCACATACAAAAAGTGAAATTTTTAAATTAACAGAATTTTGGGGGGAAAAGTGATAATAAATGAAGATGATATAACAGCAGTATTCCACTATAATGACGATGCCCCAATAATTCATAACTGACAGAGATTAAAATCTGTAGCATGGTTCCAAATTCAATATATATATTAATTTAGAAGTCAAATAACAAATATATATATATATATTATTCAGTTATAAATTTCATGATTTTCATTCAAATATTAAATTTCTACACATTCTTTGTAAATATAACAGAAATGAACTTAAACAGCTATTGAATACCTAAAATACATCAGCTTTTGTGTCTCAACAATAAAAAGCCTAAATATAACATTATGAGAGCAGAAAAAAGCTCAGCCTAACCTTGCAAATCCTCCAAAGTAATTTAAATTCAAGTACATAAAAAAAAGCATGTGTTTTTATGGCTATATCAACAAAATAAATTAAATTTAAGTGCAATCAAATAGACCTTTCAAAAACAGAAAAATTCAAATTTAAATTAGGAGGGAAAAAAACTTCAGATTTAAATACAAAAGCATTTAATTGCCTATCTGAATAAAATTGCTCTAATTTTAAAATATACATGAAAATAAAAAAATTAATTGACTATACTGAGTGTCAACTAGCAAAAAACTTTTAGGGAAGGCAGGATCCATCATAAGGATTGAGAACTGCATAGCAACCCATGACCAGAAACGCCATGGGTAAGCAAACATAGAAAATCGGAAAGGACACAAGAGAACAATTAATTTGAAATATTTATTGCACTTCATGAACATAAATATCATACGAGATGAATACAGCTCTAATGTTCAACAAATACTCAAAGTTTGCACTATCAGACACTAAGAATACCTGACCCAACAGAACTCTAATTGCCAGACACAGTCAAACACATTGGCATTTTCTTTTGCAACAGCAGTGCAGATAAGTCTTGAGATAAGATCCATTTCAGATTCTGTAGGATCATGATAACTTCCAGGGCTCCCACAGAAAGAAATCAAGGCTCAATAAATCAGGTGAGTGTGAGGGCCCGGGAACTGGTCCAGCATGCTTAATCTATTGATGTGGGAATGACTTGTTCAAATGCCTTTGAACATCAAGTCCAAAATGAGCAGGTCTCCTGCCAAGTTGAAACCACATGTTGCACCTCACATTTGCTGGAACATTGTCAAATAAGCCATAAAGCACCTACTCCAGAAAGATCCAATAATTCACGGCAGTCATGTGGGATGGTAAAAGGTATGGCTAGAGAAAGCAGTTGCCGACCAAACCTGCCTACAAATGCATATTGTGCTGATTGATACGCTATCCTTATTGAATGTGGCCTCATCAAGGAACAACAGATAATCTGGGAATTTCACTTCTCGAACACTCTATTGCAGATACCACTGTGCATAACGCACACGTGTAGGATTATCATTGGGGAGTACTAACTGAACCCTTTACAGATGAAAGGCGTGCAAGGACTCGCCGTTCAAAACATGCTGTACTTAACAACACACCCTTAAGACAAAGGCAGTATTATACATGCTGGTACTGGGATTAGTCTCCACACACTAGGCATCCAACACACTTCCTACAATAATGACTGAACGCATTGATCCTGGCCTGCCCTTCTTAATGACCCTTACTCACAAATTTCAATGCATATTAGCAAACACACTGTGGGGTACTTGAGGTCTGTTTAGGAAGTTTTCTTGATAAATTTGTTCAGCATCTTGCCCATTTCCCTCAGCTATTTCATACACAAAAGGCAAGTCTGCAAACTCACGATTTGTATACCGCTGCATGCTCTTCGTATGCTGGCTGATGCTCAAATGAGGAAATCCTTACAATACTCTCCAGCGCGTCATGGACAGCCCCACCTAGTGACCTAAGATGATGTTTCGAGTTATGCAGTGCCCTACCTCCCTAAAAGTTGTTGCTACATTTTTTAAACGTCCTTATTGAAACATAATAATTGAACGATGTAAACTTTTATTACATTGCTAAATGAAGGTGGTGTAGAAGATACATAGTGAAAGGCTACAGTACAGAAATCTTCAACATCTTCAGGTTCTAACCCACAAGGCATCATAGAAAGTACATCTGTTAAAAAAAAAATCCTAATATTAAACTGGCACTTTCCACATTACATGCATATTTCTTATGAAGCAAAAACAAGCATTTTTAATTTATAAACAATTTATTAATTAAACAGTTTGGCGAAACAATTTATCAAATAAAACTTAGAAAGAAAGAAATCTTTTAAATTATTCTTTAATATTTTTCTTTTTTAAGAACAAATTTAGTTACCAAAAAAGATATTAAACAATGCAGTGCTTCAACTTTCAGCTTCAAATATCAAGAACTGTTGCCAATTAATATGGCTCTCCCCATCTTTCATATTATTACACATTTGAGAAATAAAACATAGTAACATTTCAACTCTTCCTGCAGTGTTTAACATTTCAATGATACCCAGTTCTTTTCCCCCTATGCATTCTTTCTCATCAGCTATTGATTTCAACAATTTAAGTGTGGTCACTGACTCAACTGCAGCATTTTCAAAAAGGGCCAGAAAGGAAGAGCACAGATTAGAAATTTCAATGTTATGCTGAATAAAGCAGTATCTTTTTTGTTAGCCCAGAAAGGCAATTTTGTTTTGGCATTTTATGTTGATTCACTATAAATGACGAATCACTTTTTAAATTGTTGCCACCAAATATTAGAGCCCTGTATTATATTTAAAAGAAATTGAATAATGAAGAGTCTGCATAAAAGTATGTATGTTTCTCGCATTGTGATAAAACAACAGTACCTAGAGCCATCAAATTCTGAATAACATACATCTCCACACAACTATAGGCATCTGAAAGCCCAAATTTAGAAATTGTTTTATTATCTATTTCATATTTTGTAAAGCATTTATAAGTTTTTGATTATGAAACTCAGCGATTGAAAGCTAGCCATGCCAACACTGTATGGAAAAAAGAAACATTTTTACCTCCAGCACATGAGACTGTATATCGGAAATTCTAAAGACATGCTCTTTCAAAATTATTTTGTGATATTGCTGTTGAATTGAATTTTATGGTTTAAGTGCAAAGAATATGATATTTAATAAATAACGGTAACACATAAAACGTTTTAAAAAAAAGGTCCCTTTGGGCATAATATAAAATCTGAAAACTTTCAGATTCACCCCCTTGCAAAATATTACGCTATAATATAAAAATCTTAAGAAAGTGGTTTCTTTCTTTTTTTTAAACTGCACTTCTAACTGCAAATAAGTCTGTGTCGAGTACTCTCCTTTCGATTGGGATGGTTTCCAACCCTAATCTTATATGCTTCAAGAAACTGGTTTTAAAGTATACATATATTCTAAGCATTTCCATGATCTCCTCGATTATTGTTTTAAAACAATTTCATTATACTTATTATACCTATAACCACACCAATCAAATTAATAACTCGATTTTACATTTAAAATTTTCTTTGAATCAGATAAAAAAAAAAAAATATTCAAGCTAACACTCTCTATACAAATAATCATCTATTAATATCTTAATGCTTCCCAATAATTTAACTTGAGACAATTAACAACTTCAATATTTTTTTAATTCACAAACTAAAGAGCTAGTTTATTGCATATAATAACTTTAAAAAGTAAAATGATTTAAACTTGAGTGGAAAAACAACTAATTACAAACTCCTTTCAATTTTATCATCTGATTTCTAGATACTTGTTTTATATAAAAGCATATAAAATTTCACACAGAATGATTTCTTATTTTTCAAGTATAAAATAAAAAATTATTAAAATTATGCCAATATTTTTTTATTTTGCTTTACCTATAATAGATTGTCTATCATCTTCTTTCATGTCAAGCAGCTGTTCTCTGCAACAAAAGAAATATACATACATATAATTGTTGAAAAAATATATTTTATGCTAAATATGAATAAGTGCTGTTTATGAACTACAGTCAAAAGTCATTAATCTGGACTCGTCGGGAGTTCGGCAATTCCAGATTATCGATTTTTCCGGATTATAGATCATCAGTTTAAATCTGGTAAGATGGCATGCAGAAATTATAAAATTAAAAATATGAAACCGCAATTTATGAAATAAAGAACAATTATGATCTAAAGCGTATCAAAATTTACAAAAAAAAAAAAAAAAAAAAAAAAGCTTAATATTTATTTGTTTACTTTATTAAACATTTCTTTCAATGTAAGTTGTTTAAGTTGCTTCGTTTTTTATGTGATAATACATTCTCTTTAATTCTATAAACAGACATAATTTCTTGTTCAGTTACAAAGTTCCGCTGTTCAAGTCCTATAATTGCTGTGTCAAGAATACCGACTAATTTGTCAATCGAAATTCTTTTGTTTTCAATAACCTCTGTTACTTTCTTTGCTATCGGAAGCGAATTATAATGACGAGGAATTTGATTTAAATCATATCAAAGACAGAGTATATCGAGATGAAATACTACATTTAGTAAGGAATTATAAGGCAAATAAAATAAAAACATCTGCCCTGAAAATCAGGATAGTGCTGACAGATCAACTTCCAATTTATTGCGCACCAGCGTTAAAGATAAACAAAGTTTAGATAAACAAACGTTAAAGTTTAGATAAACAAAGGATATGCCTTTATCCATTTTTTGCAGCAATTCCACTTTTTGTTTAATGGACTTCGAAACATACTTTCGCTTTGTAGATCCTTTACATATTAGTAAATATATATCAGAAATTCTATTTGACATAATCGAAAGTTCAAGCTTACTTTTATAAAATTGCTCTAACAGTCTGCAAAAAATAATAAGCCGAATCCAATTCGAAGATTAAGGAACAACGCAATCTGCAACATTAACTGAATTAGATAATTTTAGCTTAGCTTATACAGTCCGTCATACATTAAACGTGCATTCACAAACGTATTTTGCGCACGTGCACACGCATATTCGCAGCCGTAAAGGTCTTACGCGCATGCATCAACGTGACGCATGCGCAGAAAGTTTGTAGCTTTGAGGTCCAGATTATAGATCATTCCGGATTATGGGTGTCCAAATTAACAACTTTTGACTGTACAGTCCTTTCATTACTCAGCAAAAGAATTAAAGATGTTACACCTCAAATCCAGCATATTTATAATTTTTAGAAAGCCCAAAAATGACTGTACAGTTTCATTGACTTTTATATTATAATTTTGAATGTTTAGGTAGTTTCGTCTAGATTTATTAGCAAGCGAACACTTAATCAAGATACATGCATTTTAAACATAAGTAAGTATCAGGTTAATTACAGATGGCTGGACATTCCTACCCCGCCCCCCAAAAAATTGGGAAGATTCAGCCTTATTGACTAATTGCAAAACCAAAGAATGCATAAAATAATAAAATAATATAACCCCTCCCATATTATGATACAAAGAACTGTGAAAAAATCAACACATTATTAATTTTGTAAATAAGTCATTGAATTTTTATAAGACTAAAGCTGTCCTATCTTTCCATTATTGTTGTTCCATAACTTAATTTAATAAATCACACCCGTATAAGAAAACGTCCAAGTATCATAGAAAGAACAACTTCGAATGAAAGTCCCAGTGGCTCTTTAAAAAACAAAAAGGAGCACAGAAATGGCACCTTTAATTACAATTGATGTATCAGAAATACAGAATTGAACATGTTACATTAGAATACAATAGAAACAATTTGTAAGTTAAAACAGTTGAAGGTTTGTTAAGAACAAATTAAAATTTTATGCTATGTGTGCCTTATTCACAAAAATGCTCAATAAGAGATGGCTAAAAAGGTGTTCCCCCTTAAATATTGCAATTAAGCTCTATAAATTCATAAATAGTGTAAACAGTGTATCTTCAAGTTTTTTGTAATATTATTTTTACTTCCTTGTACGAAGTAAAAAGGAAGTATTGTAATCACGAAAAGCTTCAGGCAGCATATTTCAACAAAAATATCCATTTTGACAGCTTTCGAATGCCATTTAACGATGTTTTTGCATGATATCTGTACATAAGGACAGAATAAAAGACTCTTTCCCTCCAAAAAAATTTAAAAACTGCTTTAAAATGAATTCTGAAGAGAATTTTTCGTGGCGTCTATACGAACATATGTACGTACGTATCTCGCATAACTCAAAAACAAGTAGCCTCAGAACGTTGAAATTTTGTATATAGGACTACTATAACATGTAGATGTGCACCTCGTATTTTGGTTTCAATCAGCCACGCCAAAGGTATATAAATATATTTATATATATATATCTACTCTGTTACCCGGCTCAGTGATCTCAGTTTCTTTACTCTTATATTTGTAAATTGTACATTTTTTGCTTTAAAAATGATTGAATTATGTTGTTCTTATTTTCCGGTTAAGGTTTTTATGCCTTTAGTAAATCTGTATGCAATATTTTTAGAATTATAAACAATTTAAAAGTTGTTTAAGTGCCGCTAAGCCTAATAATTTTTTTGATGGCGGCCATTGCTTGTTTACATTTGAAACAGCAGAGTAGTGAATTTGTTGACAATGTAGAGAAACGTAGCTTTGCATCAACAAAGATAAACGCCTTCATTTATTATTGCGATTAAAATCATGCTTAATCCTTTCTGAAATTTTTTTGAGGAAATAAGTGTTTAAGATTTACTTAATTTTAATAATTTAATTTTTAATAATTAGTAATTTTTAATAGAGATATTTTGAGTTTTTATGTATTTTTGCCTTGTTGCAAAGTGAGAACTGAATTAATTGAATGAGAAATACTCAATCGTCTGTGAAAAAGTGTTTCTTTTTTGTTTTGTTTCCTTAATTTCTTTTATACATCATTCTAGCTTTATTATAGTATTTGAATAGAACATGGCAACGATTAGATAATTCTTTAAATGATATAAATTTTGTGCATTCTGAGTTATAATATGAACAAAATATTACGTAAACCTAACACCAGAGTGTCGCTATGCTAAACAAAATATAGTGAAGTTTAAAGAATGCATCTATTCTATTGTGGTTTATGCGCTGTCGGCGAAGTAGATTTAATTAAATCCAATAAGTTTAAAACAAAATGCAAGAAAAAATGCGTATAATTTAATATTCCGTACAAGGAAGTCATTTGGTGCACAGATTTTTTTAAATTAAAAAAAAAAAAAAAAAAAGTGGAATTTTATGAAGACAGTTTAAACATATAAGCAGCATGTTTGGTAAAAATAAAATCTGATATTTTTAACTCAAAAAATTAACCTTGTTACATTTTTACAAATTAAATAAAATAAAATAAATTTTTTTATACATTTATATATAATAATGTTAACTAAAGGATCTTAATTAAGTTAAAAGGCAAATTTTAAGATGCAAATGTCGATTGGTAATGTTGAAACTTTGTTAAGAATGGTCACTGACATATAGCTCTTATAAGTTTCGCTGGTTAATGCATATGCAAATATACAGAATCATGTCACAACAGAAGATAAATGAACAGTGATAAAAGCTAAAGCAGAAATGCATAAACAGAGCTCATTTTCCACTGATTAAATTGCAAACTTTTGCTTCGTGCTGTCATTATAAGTGACCCGGTACTCCCAAAGAAGACACCTGGATGATTTTATTGATGGCAAAATTGAAATAAACTGAACAATCAGTTCATTCTCAACACTAAAATGAAGTGATTAATTACAGATTAGGTAGATTCCCTTCATTAAAGTGTAACTGCAGTGTTGTGAAAACAACTTTGAGGAAATGGTTAACCTATCAGAAAGTAAAGCAACAGTTAATTATACAAAACAATTTTAGCAGATGATATTTATATGACTGTACAGCTGAAGGGATTAACTTACAGCAGCACAGCAAAAGAACTGCACTCAAAGAAGAAAACTAAACTATCAAGCCAAGTCATATCCAAGCATCTGAACCTGTTTGACTTGTATACCTGCAAACCAGTACAGCATTATTTCATTGACTCTAATATACAAAGGAGGTCATAATCAATGATATGTTACATACTCTAATTGACAATAGTCCAGCAATGGACAAATATTCTACTCACAGAAGATTTTGTTTATTATTTGATTACAGGTAACCATAGTTTTGAAATAACTCCACTTCCTACCCTGTTGAATGCATTTATTAATGTTGACCAACTGCAGTTATAATGTAAGTCGAAATAACGACTAATGGTCATATGAAACTGTATTTTGATACTGAAAATGACCTCAGTGTTAATGCACCTCATATAAGAAATTTTTGTTCTTGGAAATTCCAGAACACATTCTCCTCTGAATACAATAAAGAGTCTGTTTATGCCACTAAAAGTCAAAAATCTTACACTGTCTCATCTGCACAATCTTTTTAAAAGAATATGCTACCGCAATCAATCATGCATTATAATCAATAGTGGATGTAATACTATACTCAAATTTCCCTGGGACTTTACTCTTCTCATTGTTAGGAGACCAATCAAGACCAGCCATCTCTATAAAGTGGCATAGATTTAAAAAAAAGAAAAAAGTTTTGGTTTTTTAATTACGTCCAAAGGGGCGTTTTTTTAATGTTTTGTGTGTTACCTTTATTTATTAAATATCATGCTCTTTGCACTTAAACCATAAAATTTAGTTCAATAGCAATGTTGCAAAATTTTAAAATCAGCATATCTTTAGAATTTCCGATACACAGTTCGACGGGCTGGAGATAACAAGGGTTTTTTTACCCCCGTAGAGTGTTGCCATTGCTCGCTTTTAAATTATTGAGTTTGTTACTCAAAAATTCATTAAAGTTTTACAAAATATGAAATCGATAATAAAACAAATTTCAAATTTCAAATTTGGGATTTCAGATGCCCATATTCGCACTAGGATTATGTCACTGAAAATTGGATGGCTCTAGATACCATTGTTTTATCACAATGTGAGAAATATACATACATTTATGCAGATTTTTCATTATTTAATTTCTTCAAATATAATGCAGAACTCTAACATTATGTGGCAACAGTTTGAAAAGTGAACCGACATTTATATGAGTCTGACACAAATGCCAAAACGAAAGTAATAGTCCTTCAGGACTCAAATCCCTTTGGATTAAAAAGAATATTCTAGCACCATAAACAATTTTTAACAATTAAAAAATATATATATAAAACATAAAATAAAGAATAAAAACATTAAAATATTTCAAAACATATTTTTTTATTGACATAACATTAATAATAGAAATAATAATTTTAAGTCTTTCTTGATACTTAATATAGCAAAGGCATTTAATATTCCATAAATACTGCTGAATGAAAGTAATAAATGGCATCCTAAAATGAATTTTAAGCCCTGTTTTCTGTCAAATACTTCTCTTTCTGACATCTTTATATTAACTTTTAAGCACACCAAGAGCAGTGCTGCAGTAGTCTTTTCCAAATTTTCATAAGAATTACCTCATTTGACTTGAATTTTAAAAATTATTGATGGTTAATTCCCTTAATTTTTTATATTAAAATTTCCTAAATATTTTAGAAGCCCTTGAGTAATTACTTATTTTTAAAAATTATTAATCAAATATCTGTATATTTATGCATACTAATCAAAATTCACTGTTTATTACTTCCAATTCACTAAATTAAACATGAAATTTAATACATAAAGTAGTGTATTTTCAATTTCTGGTGACACTATACATGCAAAATTCTGACTGAAAAAACTCTTAAAAATGGCAATTCTGAAATAAATTTTGGAGTGAATGACGGACTAATAATACATTGCATCTAGAACCATAAATTTTAATTACAAAAATTCACATTCAGAATACAACATTCTGAATTCATATTCATGTCCCACTTATTATCATCACTGTTATACATTTAATATCCTCATTATGATATACGGAATAGAATAAATACCATTTAAAATATTTCTTTTTTATCAGTCTTCATGTAGCCTTGTGTGGTTACCACAATAACTATGCTATATCCATAGCCAATTATCTGTAATCTGTACAATTACCTGTGCTGTATCTATAGCAGTTCTGCTTTTGGATACAGTGTGGAATTCAGTTTAGGTTTTTGAAATGAATTTTAATTTTTATAACTTTAACCTTTTCCTTCCCTTCCCCTTTTTTTCTGAGGTCCCTCTAAAACTCAGCTCCCGGGTGCCTTGCGCACATTGCACCACAGTTGTGACCACCCTGTTTTCAATTTCACTGCACTTTTGCCAATAAATAAACATGATATGCTTTGCTCTTACTTATTTATTATATTTTTATGTTAAAAATAAAATTTACACTTTTTCATGGAAACATGTTTGTTTCTGCTAAGTTTGCCTTTACTTTAAAAATATTTTTATTAGCCCTCTCTCACTGAAAACATTTTCATGAAATATCCTTGACTTTTAGATCTAAGAACATAGTGTGTATTGTTCAATACATATACTTCTCTACAATCCTGTAAATGTACCAGGTGGTTGAATTGTTATTTTATAAGAATTTAAATTATGTTTTAAAGAAAGCTAAAAATGCAAATACAATTCAATCATTTTCAAAAGCAAATTTCATAAAAACTAAAAGCATTAGATAGCCTAAATACATGAAAAAAAGAACAGGGAATGTGCATTTTAAAGTTTATAGTTATTTGTATTAATGAAAATCCCTATGCATATCTGAACTGCAATGAAATACTCAGAGAAGAAACATGACATAAGCGAAATGATCCCACTAATGAATATGTTAATATTTCAAAGACTCACACAATTTTTATGCATAACAATAATAGAAAAGGATTTTCATGTAAAATAAAACAAAGGCAAAACAAATTTAACTAATGTATCTCATTTATTTGTAATACAACTTGTAAATAGTTTAAAATACAAAAGGGGAAAAAGTGCTATAATACAGAAGATTTACTTACAATTAAAATTCACCTGAATTTTGATTTAAAAAAGTGATGCATTATCATTTACTTTAGGCACACTTCATAACTGCATATATTTTCAATACAATATTGACAAATAAAACAACAAAAATTCAATTTTTGATGTACAAATAAAAGATTCGCACTAAATAAAACTGATGTCATCAGTATATTTACTTAGCATTGATAACGATGACCAGGGCAAGGAAAAAAACAAGAAAGGGTTCAGATGCTTGGAAATATATGTCCCACATAATCTGTATTACTTTCAAGGAACAAGTTGAAGAAAAGAGACTACCAAACTGCAAAATATCAAATTTAAGTTTCAAAAAGGGAAATTATGAGCAAAAGAAAAGCTTTGTAATATATTAAATGGTTTAGTTAGAAATGTTAGTATGTTATTACATTATGAAATTTTGAATCAAAGCATGCTGAAACTTACCCAGTTCTTTGCATAAGCTTCAGGAGTGATCTTTTTTGTATCCAAAAATGAACAGAGTTCAGGCTCATGATACAGTAAAAGTAGACGTAAAAGATGGAATGGACTAGATTGCTTGGCACAATTCCTGAAAAGTAAATAATGATATCACAACAAACATGTGATTGAAAACAGTAAAATACATCAGTATACCTGCACTCAACACGATGCTGCGGTAGAAATGAAGAAAAGCACAATTTTATAACAGAACAGATGATGCAGTTAAAGGAAAAATGATGACTGTAAAAAGATCTTTCTTTTGGAGGGTTACTGTTGTTAAAAAAAAAAAAAAAACTAATATTTTTTTCTCAATAAAGACGTAAAAAATTTGTTTGTGTCTCAAGTGTAAAAGGTTTGTCCACATTCAAATTAAATGTCTGGTTTGTGCACATAGAGTGATAACTTCCCTAGAAAACACATCAAGTTAAAATGGAGATTCGAACAGATCTTTTTCAAAAATGTTAAGTACACCATTTCCATAGGTAACACCTTTTCTTTCTGCTTATTCATTGAGAACTAATCTCCAAACAACTGAATACAAAAGGAATTTCCAAGACATAAGCAAATGTTTACTTATATACAATTATTTTGAAGCTAGAATTATATTTCTTTATTTTATTATGTTACTATTTTGCATTAATTATATTCTTGAAAAAATTTCAATTATGAAAATAATTTTAAATGAAATATCACAACCTAGCTAAATCTTCATCAACCAAAATGATTAAATTACTTCATAAACTTGTACTTGATACAGAAGGTTATGGAGTAAACCTCAAATACTTTCACGAATTCGGTGATTTAGATCAGGGGTCAGCAACATTTTTTTAGAAAAAGCCATATTGTAAAAATTTTAGATATGAATGAGTCATTTTTTTCATAAAGAGGAATAAAAAACTCATATTTTTTTATTATGAAATGATGCTTTTATATAAAATTTACACACATTTTACTAACAAAAGAAAAAAAAAAATATTTTCATTTGCATATTAAAAACATTATTATTAAATAGATTAAAATTTCTAATGTGAGAAATGTAATTGTTTTTTCTGAGATAATATTTCATCATACAGGAGTTCAAAGCTAGCATTCCCTACCATTAATGTTATTTGCAAATGGTCACCTGTTAATAATGATCTGAATTGCAGTTTCACATACTTCATTTTCGAAAATGTCTTTTCACATTGGTAAGTACTTCCAGATACAGATATCTACTTGTGTGCATATAATTTTAATTGAGCATATTTATCTTCTAAAAGATATTTACAAAATTGAGTTAGATCATTTTCTTTAAACATCATTATTTTGCAAATCATTCACTTCCATCTAAAGGGCTGATGGAAGTTCTTCAACTCAAACAGATTTTGGAACATGAAAATTATTTTTGCACTTGCATGAAGATCCATACAACACCGTTGTACGTGCAGATTAAGTTCGAGAAATATATCCCACACAAATGTTTTTGGAAATGAAAATTTCATTTATATTTGAAATTTTTTACAGCATGGAAAATGGTGCATTGATTATACAAAGAAATATCATGGGGAAAAAGTCAAACCAAATTAGCAATGCCTGGCACTGAGAACTTACGCTGAAATAAATAAACGAAAGCAAAAATGCGAAGTGGTATGTCTTTAATGGAAAAGACTCTACATATTCTTTTAATGAATCCTTAAATGTGATTTTATGAATCTTCCTTAGAACACTGCTTTCCAATGGAAACATACGACAATACCCACACAAAGTTGTAAGCCTTATTTACTAATCAATTAAGTGGTCTTCACAGAAAATACATGCAGACACATCAAAGACACATCAAAGTGTAAGTAATTAACCAGATTACACAAAAGAATTAGTCAATACTCAGGTATAACCTAAAAACAGAAACACAAGTTGTGTACATATATCAAATATTATAATTTGATTGCTATTTCTGGATAAAAAAGGGGTACTTTCAAATTATCTGTCTCCCAATGAAAATATGCCAAATCACTGGTGATTCTGTGAACTGGTGACAAGCATTTATTTGGCCACCTCTATAACACACATGCACTGTTTTGTTCATTAACAATAATAAAAAGCAGCATTTTTATAAGAAACAAGAAATTTCACTAGGGGGGAAATTAAGTAATGATGCAGTGCATAATCTACCACTTTTAATTCAATATTTATTTTTTAGATGGCATATTTTATTATTATTTTTATTTTTAAATGCTATTTTTAAATATCAAAATAAATAAAAATAATTAAAAAGATATAAATGAAAATGGTTCCATTAATTAATTTAATAACCCATTCAATTTTTAATTCTATTAATCACTTCATAGTTTTGCCCGAACGGCGTTCGGGTACTTGGAAATGGCACTTTTTTTATTTTCCTGAGCGTTTGCTTGTTTAGTGTGTAATGTTTCTAACAGATGCCGCTAGTAATCCAGTAAAGTTAGAATTGCAAAACAACTGGTTTCAAGGTTAGGTTTTACTGAATTCTTTTACGCAAGTAAATGCACGAAATTTCTTTTCACTAGCTCGGTGTTCCGCCTACTGTGAATACTATTTCTTTTAAATTTGGAGCTAAAATAAAAGAAGAAATGAATGATAATGAGCAGCTTATAATTGAAGATAACTGAGAAATTTCACTAAATTATTCTGGAAGTACTGACAGTTTGTTGTCTGACTTCTCTAGTGATGAAAAAATGGAAAGTATAGATAATCTAACGCAAATTCGAAACTTTTGTGAACTTGATATTAATAAACCTTCTTGATTGATATTAATAATTCTTATTTGGAATCGAACAGATATGTAACAACAATAAAACAATTTAAATCTGACATCTATTTTTGTAAAGTGCTCTTTCTAGTTCGCTTACTGGTTTGAAAAAAGCCAACTTTAAGGGAAAATGGGCTTTTTACAATGAAAATAAAAATTAGCATAAATCAATAAATTCAACACTTGTAATAGTTCTGACTGCTAATTTGGGTTTATTTAATGAATTTCTTCATAAAAATGTTTATCAAAAATATGCTTATTTTTTGTCATAAGGAGTGAGTGGCATTTAGAAGGGCTGCTTTTATGAGTCATTCAGTCATATACTCGTACATTACGAATGTCAGGTAAGATGACCAAAAAATCACTTTTATCAGTCCTTTACTTAGCCCAATTTTGATGAAATATTTTTTTTAAAAATCATCGAATTTTTTATAGATGTTTTTAATGTTTATAAAATTGAAAATAGATTCATATACACAGCACTACATTTTCCCTTAAATTTAATGTGTTTTTTTAAGTATATTAAACTTTTTATTAACTTGTTGTTGTTGGCTTTCATCATACACCTGATCTAAACAGAAAAGCTTATTGCAGACATTTAAGAAATATATTGATTTTTTGGAGAGAGAAATGGTATGTGCGCTTTAAATAATGGACAGTATTAGCTGCAAATTATGATGCTTTTATTCAACATCAATAATATCTCTAACCTTTGTTTTAAATATAATAATTTTTCTGGGTGCGATAAAGTTTGAAACATGATATGCAGAGACATTACAGAACATGACATTACAGTCTTTATAATAATACCTCGCTTCTCTCTTAATTCGTTTTCCATTTGCATTCTTCTCAGATGAACACATTTCACATTCTCTGGCAGGGTTTTACTTTTTTCTCTGTAAGTGGTATAAATTCCAAAAAAATGGTGTTATAAACAACTTGATAGCGCTTCATTCGATGGATGACTTCATGTTGAAAAATAAGTGCCATATTTATCAATTATTTCATCAATTAAATCCAGTATAAATTTTAAATGTGATTTTTTCCTTCTTTTTTATAAACTTGAAAAGCACTGATAACAGCTAGATCTAAAAGATGAAAGAATATTTCTTTATATTTGTTTCCACCATTTCTGGCTACTTGATAACTAGAAATGTATTGTTCTAAAAGGTCACCTTCCATTGTTTTATTGCAGTCAAATTACAACCTTCGGGTTTTGTTTTCAATTTTTTACATTTATCATTACTGAATTAGTTTCAGAAGCCATATTTTAACTTTCAGTTAAAATCTGACTTCTGAAACTAATACCGATAGGAAACCAGATAGGAAATAATGATTAGATAAGATAAGAAAGCCTGGACAAGAATAGGCAAGTTGCGCCATCTGTTGGTGAAACCAGAACTAAAACATAATTTCTTTAAAGGCCGAAGGCAAATTTGGATTGGAATTTGGATCGTTAACTAGATCAGAAAGATTTTTATGAATGTGAAATGCCTCTAGAAAATCCAGTTCTCCAATGGAAGATGTTTTTTCAATAATTTTGGCAGCAGAAAAACTGAAAGTGTGGTTTTCGGACCAACAATGTTGAGCAACAGAAGACTTCTGTGTTTCCTTTTTTCTAACATATGCTTCATGTTCCTTGACGCGAAATTTTAAGGCTCTCTTAGTTTGGCCAATGTAAATTAAACCACACTGGCAAGGAATCCTATAAATACCCCAGGAATTCATCCTTGAGGTCCTTGAGTATGGAACTAGTCAGTCCTGTGAAAATTTGGTAAATATAACGCTGATTTTTGTTGTTTGACTTCTGAATTAGTATTTTTAATGTGTTGTGTGTTACCTTTATTTATTAAATATCATGTTCTTTGTACTTAAACCATAAAATTCAGTTCAGTAGCTATGTCGCAAAATAATTTTAAAATGAGCATGTAGGGTTTATATTTATTTTAACTAACATTTATTTTAAGTTTAAACTATCTTTCCTGTCAAGCCTTACTTTCCCCTGGAACTGCCAATGCCAGAATATGTAAATTTGAGTAGAACGCGCAAGCATTCAAATTATCAGCGGAAGTATTCTGATTTAAATAGAAAGGAAACAAGTTTGGTGTGTGATATTCTTACTTCACGAGCGCGGAGGAAGTTAGCGAGAAGTTGAAGAACCCCGCGTTTCGGCCTATGTGCTTGGCGGGAAGTAGTGTTAATCGTTCAAGTGAGCTTCAAGTCTGCTGAATTAGCAGCGGTATTGTAAAACGCGGTGAGTTAGTTATTTTAGAGAGCCTCGTAGTTAGAATCTTGTCTTTAGTTTCTTTTCAGGTTATTATTTTTATTTGACCGCCAAGTAGGCGCAGTCTGTGAGCGTCAAGAGCACGCAATTGTAATTTATTACGTTGAATAAAAAGGGACTTAAACCCTTCACAAGATTCTGTATTTTATCCAGTTGTCACAGTCACCTCTTGGTTGCGTGCAAGTTGGAGGCGCGCAACGTTACAAGCATATCTTTAATTTTCCGATACACAGCCTGCTGGAGATAAAAAGGTTCTCCCCCACCCCACCCCGCCATAGAGTGTTGCCATTGCTTGGCTCTTAAATCGTTGAGTTTGTTAATCAAAAATATGCAAGTTTTACAAAATATGAAATTGATAATAAAACAAATTCCAAATTTCAAAATTTGGCCTTCCACATGCCTATATTCGTAGGAGGATTACGTCATTCAAAATTTGATGGCTCTGTGTACCGTTGTTTTATCACAATGCAAGAAATAGACATACATTTATGCAGATTTTTCATTATTTAATTTCTTCAAATATAATGCAAAATTCTAACATTTGGTGGCAACAGTTTGAAAAGTGAAACGGACATTTATAGTGATTCAACGCAAAATCACAAAACAAAAACAATAGTACTTCAGGGACAAAGCTTGTTTGGACTAAATGAAGAACTATTTGATGCTGAACAAGTGTAAACATCCAAATAAGACACTTTCAAACATACAGTGGTGGCCAAAATTGTGGACTTTGGAATTTTATGTTTTGAACTTTGTATCTTATAGAAATACGTTCCAAATGCAAACTTGTATTATCAGGTTCAATGTTTCTTCTAACCTTCTTCGGAAACATACAATGACCTGACTAGAACAGAGAGCTTACTAAAGCTATGTTCACTAATTGTAGTAAGTAGACAGGATACAGACGAAGGGTATACAAAACCCTTTATTTTTTTTTCTTTATATACAATGACTTCCGTACTTCGGAATACAATGACCCTCCACTCGGGGTCTAACTTAAAAGATATCAAAATAAAACTAAACTCTAATTTAACTTTAGAATAAGATTGGCCTTATAATAACAGGAAGCGTATGTAGCACAGAGACTGTGAACACTACAATACGTTTAATTTATCAAGAGGATTAAAACCTCTGGCCTGGAAGGCAAAGTAGCAACTGCGTAACTTCTAAGGTAAGCGGCCTGCTTCGAACTCACGGCTTCCTCTCTTCTGCTTGGCAAAAAGGCCACACTTAAATACTTGGCGTTCGCCAGACAACTTTGCATAAACTCCTTCACGCTTATAATTCTGGCCGGAAGTAGAAAATAAGAAGTGATAGTAAAGATTTAAAATAAAATAAACGTTAGTAAAACTTAAGATCCTTACATACTTCCCGCCAGAGTTAATTAGTTTGAAACTGAGGTCTAAAACGACCTTGTTGAAAACTTTTAGCTCTAGAAACTAACGCGAGGCCAACCTTTACAATCATAACTTAGCTAGAACTAGAAAATTTAAAAGAAAGAAATTTGTTACAATAGCAGCTCCCGGAATATACAACAATCTTTTTCTTTTTCATCTGTACTGCATCAAAACAGGAGCTTTATTCAATTCTGGTTCCTTCCAGAGATCTGGAAGGAAAACTAGTTTAATGAAATGTTACAGAATGACATTGCAAATAACATATAGAATATACTTTCTTAACATTCTTATTTCATTCATGACTATTTTAATTATCTCTCCCCGTGCTCTCTGACATGTGTTGTAAAAACACCAAACACGAATGTGTTTCTGTCTATGTGTTCAACACTTCCTCCTACAATCAAAACACTAACGTGTTAAAATTCAACATACGAGACCTCTTAACACACACACACCCTAATTTCAACTCTAGACCCTGAGGTACTATTCTGAAAGTGGCTAACTCTAAAGTGTAGCGTCAGAGAGCCTAACTACTAACTACATCATTCAACCTTTAACACATATTCACCATGATTTAATCTTTACAGTCACACGAATAACAAATTTTTTAACATTACTTTCACTTTTACCATATCACGGTTATTTCTAAACATTCAAAATAACAGTTCACATGTATACAAGAACATATCAAGATGATGCCGTTAATTTTACACATTTGAAAACATACATTAGTAGTACATTGTTAACTTCTATTCTTTTCAAAGCAAGTGCCAATTCTTTCTACATTGAAATAATACTACATTTCAAAAAGTCTTTCAGACTAAAACTTCTTTCTTGTTAGAATGTTTTAAATAAAATTTATACAATAACTTTTTACAATATTTAAGTCTTTATACAACGCTATTATACATCAACTTTAGTTTTACGCGCGAGTAATTGAAAAACATAATAAGAAAATCGGTCACAACTCATTTCTCGCCCTTTTGGCGATAAAGGTAGACCTCGCATGAGGTAAAACTTCTTGAAATCTGCCACTTGCAGTAAGAATGAAAGATTAACTTAAGTTTGTAAAGTAACATAAAATTTTACTTATCTTTGTAATATTCAGACATCCTTTTCTGGGCCCAGTCTTTAAAGGTGCTGCAGACCGTAGCTTGGTTGATCCTCCTTCTTGTACGGGCTCGCCCTTCAGTGCTTTCCTTTCCTCTGGAAGCTTCCGTTTTTCACCACTACGGCCACCCTTGAACATCTTCCTTCTGTCCTCTGCTTGTGGTCTTGGCCGTTTGAAGGCAGCTGGTCTTGGTGGAACCGGGAAACTTCTGTCGTGATCCTGCTTGGACCTCGTTGTTGGCCGTTCAAATTTTTCTTGTACTTTTTCCTCCGCCGCTGATGGCCCTTCCGCAGTTCGGCGACTTTTGCTGCGGAGAGTTCTGTCGGATGAGTCAATCTTCCGTTTCACAGCCGGGTTATAGTTGCCGTCCTTTCTCCCGGTCTTTTCCACATACGTCGTCCTTCTCCCTTCTTCATTCTGGGGGTGTTCGTGAACTCTGTTTTTT